TAATATTTAACGTAGTTTCACATCATTAGGCATATATTTAACGTAGTTTCACATAATTAGGTATATATTTAACGTAGTTTCACATAATCAGGCATATATTTAACGTAGTTTCACATCATTAGGCATATATTTAACGTAGTTTCACATAATTAGGTATATATTTAACGTAGTTTCACATCATTAGGCATATATTTAACGTAGTTTCACATCATTAGGCATATATTTAACGTAGTTTCACATCATTAGGCATATATTTAACGTGGTTTCACATCATTAGGCATATATTTAACGTGGTTTCACATCATTAGGTATATATTTAACGTGGTTTCACATCATTAGGTATATATTTAACGTGGTTTCACATCATTAGGCATATATTTAACGTAGTTTCACATCATTAGGCATATATTCAACGTAGTTTCACATCATTAGGCATATATTCAACATAGTTTCACATCATTAGGCATATATTTAACGTAGTTTCACAAAATGATTAATGTAGAATATAAATTTTTCATTGAAATAAAAGAAATGGAACCCAAAACCTTGTCTTGCCTTAGAATTGTCCTCCAATGGGCCAGTAGTGAGTTTACGGTCTTTCAACGCAAAAATTCAGGGTTCGTTTCCCTGCAATGGAAAGAGCGCAGACAGCCCAATGTGTAGCTTTACGTTAAAATAAAATAAAATGCGTTATAGTTATATAATGTACTCATCATCATCGTCCGAAGTTCGTCAAGTGAATGTATTACCACAGCCCATATACTACATCAGTTAATTTACCGCTTAATACAGTTTTACGATTTTCTTGTATTATTTCTTTTACCATGAATAAACAGAAATGAATTAATAATTAAAGGCTTTTTATACAGTATATCGGCAAATGTAGCTTTAATACGTTCGATGCTACCAGTAGTATTAATGAATTGAGTATTAATAAAATTAAACACTCAAGAGGTGGTGAGGTCGGAACAGTCAGTGTCCCAAACTCATATGCCATAAGAGAAATTTGGCTTTGAAATAAAATTGACTGTGACCCATCGGTGTGTCACGCGGTTCATAACTAAAAGTCGATTGTGACCCACCGGAGGGGCACATGGAGGCTAACGTGTTAAATTCAAGGTAGCTAAGATACTTTTGACAAGTTTCATTACTGGCCTCTTTAGTTGCGTTTATTTATATTCTCAGTCTCATGGCTTTGAAATTAATTTATACACATACACACACACACACACACACACACACACACACACACATATATATATATATATATATATATACCAGATTATGTGTGTTTTTTTTTCTTCTGTGTCTGGGTAATCACTTTAAGTCTTAGCCGAATAATAAACGTAATGTCACGTTTATTTATGGCAGAAATACTGTTGTTGTTGTTGTGTATGTTTATAATCAAAATTATATAGGCTCATACGCTTTATCAAGTTGAGAACCAGTTTTACCATATATGGTGTAAATATATTACAGTGATGTATCATGAATCAAGGAAACCGATTTAACACGAGTGAATAGCACCATATCTAGACATTTTAGGGTGTATTTTGTTTTAGAAAATGACGATTTTGTTGCTACGTCAGAAAGGGTGTAACCTACAACCCACAACCGTTAGATAGGAAACCTTGAGGGGTCGGGTGGGGTGTAATGAAACTGATAGAAGAATCGTTGTGACAGTTAATTATTGTGAAAAAAAAAGAGGAAAGAGACAAATTAATGCGTTTTGTACGAACAAGTATTAGAATTCAGTGTATCAAACACCTGTTCAAAGCAAGAAAAATTAACAAATAACGATTAGTGTTTTACGCTTTTAAAATTTGTAAATAGTATTATATAATTCAAATACTAAATGTGTTTGTTTGTTTGTAATTAAGCACAAAGTTACATAGTGGGCTATCTGTGCTCTGCCCACCACGGGTATAGAAACCCGGTTTCTAGCGTTGTAACCATACCACTGTGCCACTGGGGGGGGGGGGCAAATACTAAATATTTATCAAAGTCTGACATACAGTTAATACCAGCGAATTTTTTAATTTAAGACCCCCTATCCTGGTGGCTCAGCCGCTTTAGCGGTAAGTCTGAGATCTTATAATGCTGGAAATAGGGTTTCAATACCCATGGTTGGCACAGCACGTATAACCAGTTGTGTAGTTTTGTGCTTAATAACAAACAAACAAAACTCATTATATAAGTTATACTAAGCTTTATTAAGAACGCATCCTAGTAAGCCCTTGCTTATTCAAAAGTTCCTCAAAATGTGTATATAAAAAAAGATTACACAGTTATTAAAAACTAATATGTGGGTATTGTTATATGTATGTTTTAATATAGCTATTTTTTCGATGCAATATTTAAACATTAAAGATAAATTAAATTTTCTATCGAAGTTTATGATACAAAATCACTAAAGTAAAATAGCGATTAAACTTTTACATTATACGAAATTATGCCAGTATTATTGTTTTAAAGCAATAAAAACTGAGTTGAAAAACGAATATGTATCGGATAAAATATAGTTTCGAATGATGTTTGGAAATACATTATATGTCAATTGGCAAGCCCAAAAAGGCCCACATCCTTACTTCTTTTTACTGCCTGCAGCTAGTTATTTGAAAGTTGCTCAGAAAGCTCAGAAAACAAAAAAATGTATGGGCCACATATTACTTAGTTAAGTAACAAACTAATGATTAATAATAAAGTAGTTTTATTTAGCTATTTATAATTTAGTATACAAATGACTTTCTTTCAAGTTTTCCCAGTTATTTACAAAAAAATATTTATTTAATGTATTTATATTTGTTAAGATGTTTCTTTATTTTTTGCTTTTGGTGTTTTTTGTCTTTGTAAATTTAACATTTGTATTTTTATTCATACCTGGAGATCTTTATTATTTTTTAGGTGATCTTACAGAACTGTTAAATAACTTTAATCTACTTTTTCAGGAGAGCTACGACTTTTTGTTAGGAGCGCCAGGGATTTATGATTGGACAGGTAAACAAAATATTTTTGTTTACAGTTTGCCAGCTTGATAACAAAACCATTATGTTATGTGAATATATGAATATATTATTTTAGCAATAAATAATAATAAGGAAAAATCTGATTCCTTGAATATTTATATATATATTTTTTCATAAGATATAATCATCGCATAAAAATTTCTTAAACAGAATTAAATAAAAATGTAAAATTAGTCAGTGTTTTTATTTAATTTAAAGAAGATTCACCATAACCTCATGTAACATGGCTCTATTAACTATGACAACGTCTGAGCATGAAGGGTGGGGCTAGGGTTAGATGCTGGGGAAGAAATATCTTTGCCAGAACCAATTCTTGCATTGTGAAAGCTATGGTTGATTATTTGAGATCAATAAGAAAATTTATGAATATATATGGGCCTTCAGAGTAGCTTCAAGTTTTCACTCTTCTCAAAAAATTATGCTTATGCCTTGTTTTACTTTCAACAGGTTATTTTAATTTAAATACATTAAGTCCATTAGAGTAGAACTGGTATTGAAACATCATCTCCTCATCCACAACATAACACATTGCCCTACAGTAGTCTGCTTATAAGTTTATTAATTGTACCTAAATACTTTATTTCAACTTAGGATGTTTTTTACGTGCTCATGATTATTTTCTTGTATGGTATCAAGTTTTCATGGTAGAAAATATCATGTATGGAGATTATTTCTTTATTCAAGGTGGTGAGGGTAGTTTTTCTAATATCAAATCTTGGGTATTCAACAGGAATACCTCAAATTTTACTGTTAACTTTACTATTGTAACCAGGATCAAATTGGGTTAATCTGGCCAAATACAAATCATGAGAATAAGCCTAAAGAAGACAAGAAATGAATAACTAGCAACAGTATCAAAGAGTGCATTGATCACCAAATAATGAAGAAATGTGCATTCTTAAATTTAGAAGAAAGTAGAAGAATTTCTTTATCCATCTTACTGCTAAACTATGAAATAAAGTTTTTAAAATACATTCAAATATACGTGTTAATATAATTAACATGAGTTCCAATCAATTAGGGCATTTGCCTCTGAACAATGGACACAAGTTACACAAATTAAAACTTTAAATAAATTTATTTAGTAAAGAACCCTATGCCTAAACATTACAGGATGCTTTGAAATGTAAGAGTCTGTAACATTAGAAGACAAGGTGAGATGGCGAAGAGATTCAACTTAATGCTCAAACAACCCATGTTTCCTGAAGACTTAAGCTCTTGTCACTAAGAACCACATAAATATCTTGATTTTATGAAAATTGCTTGATATTTGTTAATTGACTTTCAGGATCTGTTGCGGATTTCAGAACTGGAAAGAAGACAAATGATACTACTTTGGTTGGAATTCCTATGCCTCCTTGGAATCAAGATCCATCTCAGCAAGCTTATATAGGTAGGTTCAAAGTAGCCAAAGAAACTGAGCAGTAAGTGCCATTATTGGTTTTCTAGCAGCATGTCTCTCACTTTGTCACACTATTCTGCTATCTATGTATTTTAATACTAGAATACTAGTCAAGTTTTTGTTACTTGTGTCTTCTCTTCCTTACAGCAAAATTTACATTCACTAGAATGTTTGGCTGTTAATTTTTAAATTGGAAGAAGTTATGTTAGCTATGAATATTTTATTTTTGTACAGATAATAAAAGACCACCATTAATCAGTATGTACCTTATATTCTTGAAACTGCTTAGTATGACTAAAAGTGCTATTCCTTAAATAAAAATGAATTATTTAATTTCACGGTATGTATTCAAATGGACTTTTATAGAGGAAATGATTTGTTTTGACATTTTTTTCAAGGTTACTCTGTGACTATGGGCAGATTTTTTGAATTTGGAGGAGAGTTATTTGTGACAGGAGCACCACGAGATGCTGATAATAAGGGCAGAGTAAGTCGTATTGTCTAACTTATTTGTCATTGACAAATATATTGAAGCAGTTTCTCCTTGCTGAAGGAGGGTAATGTATGATATTGCAGTCATTATATTTTGTCATTTGTAAAGACATTAATGATGAAATTAGTTTGTTATATTTGTTGTATAGAATGGCATCAAAATATTGTCCTTAACCATACAAGCCTAGTGTTCTAACTTATTGTGAACTTAAAGAAAGTTTATAAATAATACTACAAATAAACAGTATTGAGAGTTGATATGTCAGGCAATTATAGTGTCATGTGACTTGAACTGGTTCTTTAACAGTTGTACAGGTCATTCATTATTATTCTTTTACACCAGTTGCAACATCATTTGTGCTTATCAGTGTGAAACTAATTTCAGCACACAACATAAAATTAAAAGACATCAAGGGACCTTTTGGTCCATGTATGCTGTCCTGCTATCTACTAAGTTAAACTAAACACTAAAAAACTAAAGCCAGTCCTTATCATTCAAATATTTATATAGCTTTCTCTTAAACTGCCTTAAATTTACTGCTTCTACTACATCTGAAGACGACCTGTTCCAAAGACCAACCAGTCTGTTTGAAAAATAAAGTGGTCTCAGCTGTGGATGACTCCTACTCCACCAAAATTTATATTTGTGTTTCCTAGTCTCATCATTTTCACCATAACATATGGAAAAAGATTATGCATCAACGCTATCAATTCCCTTAACAATTTTAAACACTTCAGCCAGATCCCCCTTTGAAAACTAGTTCACAGATCTTGACAAATACTCGTATGACAACCTTTCCATCCTATCTATGCATCATTCTAGTAGCCCTCCTTGGGTCCATTTCTAACACTTCAGTGTTCTTTCTAAAATAAGGAGCTCAAGATTGAACACGGTACTCCAAATGTAGCCTAACTAATGACCCATACAATGATATTATAATCTCTTTAGACTTATATTTATACTTTTGTAGGTACAACCTAAAATCCTATTTGTTTTGCCATTAGCAATCGGTCCCACTGTGGGACAGTGGTAAGACTACTTGCAATGCTAAAATTCGTGGTTTGATTCCCCTATGGTGGATAAAGCAGATAGCCCAATGTGGCTTTGCTCTAACATGCATACACTAGCAACAGAAAAAAAATCCTTTATACAGAACTGAAAAATAAGTTTAAACATCTAGATTTTTTCTGTTTTGACTGGGGGAGATAAAACTGTTGAAGAGGGTATAGGTATATTCTTTTGTTATTATAAACAAAATTAATATTTATTCCTTTTTTTTTATCCTAGGTTTACATATTTGATGCTTTGAGTAGTTTTGATCCAGTGTTTGCTGTTAAGGCCAAAAAAGAAGGTGAACAGGTAAATAGATATTACTTTAATTATAAATTCCAGTTGTTACCATTCACCCATCTATTTTTTAATCCAACTTTTCTGTTGTTTCTCTATCCTTTCCTGAACTTTTCTTTGAGTCCAAAATTTTAGGTGTTGATGTTCACAACATCTAGTCATTAATCTGCATATCTGTAAGTCTGTAATTTATTTATAACTTATCTTGCATTTCAGATTTTAAGAAAAGTTTTAGTCTACTTTAGAAGTAAATGGTTCCATGATCAAAACTGTTAAAATGCATGTATAAATGTTTAAATGTTAGATAAAATTTTTTAATGTTTCTAAAAAAACTAAAGGTACAAAATAGTTTTTAGAATCATGTACTAGTCACTATGGAAACCAAGTAGAACTGAACAAAGAAAGTGAATGTGAATTCAACAGGTAAACTCACTTTTTTTGTCCAATTCACAGCATCACCTCATGATCTTTATTTGTTTACAGCAAAGGTCAGATGTAAAATTTGGTGAATGTCATAATTGGCCAGCAAAGGATATTAAAATACCAAGTCTTTTAACATGGATGCTTTATATATTACTGCAACATTCCTATGAGCTGAAGAGACATCACTTACCATAAAGCACAAAGAAATGAAGCAACTAGAACAAGATAATGTTAATGAATTTCCAGACCACATGCTGCTGCCATTACAGGACAGAAACTAAATAACGAAAAAATGTTTTAAATCTTTATCTCACTAAAGAAGGTAGAAAACATATTCTATGCCCACATATCACAAAAATGCAATGAAAATGACAATAAAACTAGAGACATATACTTGTGAATCTCATTTAAAAACATAATTTCAAATATTTATGTATTCTAGATGGGAGAATATTTTGGAGCAGTAGTTTTGGGAATCAACTTGAATAACGATCGATTCACAGACCTTATTGTTGGAGCTCCATTGCATTCCAAAGAATCAGGAGGAGATGAAGGAAAAATTTATGTATATATCAGTGATGGTGTGGTAAGTTCTTGATATTAGGTAGCATTAAGTCTTAGGTAGACTACATTATATACACTATGTGTTACATAAAATGTTTCTGACCCAGTGTTTTATCATGCATACATGGGGATTCCTACTGACTGATTGATATTAGAAATTTTATGTAATTGAATCATGATATTATTTACTTCCTGGAATATTACTTTTCTGAACTAAGTCTGGTTGACTATGCATGCACAAGTCTTATGTTAATAAATGACTTTTAGAAAATACAAATAAATGTAAATGAACTGAATTATCAACATCAAATCATTAAATAAATTCATGTATTAAATACACATATAAAAAATATATACTTTCTTATTTGTTAGGATTAAAATAATCTTATTTCTGAAATAAATACTCACCTCCTTACACATATAGCTATTTTTTCTGTTGAAGTAGCTCATATATGCCTGGGAGACTTGCATGCCACCAGCTTTGTGAAAACTCCTACCTAAATGTGCACTACTACATGATAGCATATCATACAGCAATAGGAATGTGACACACTTCTTTGAGAAAATCCTTCCTCTACATTTGCTCATGAGAATCCTCATTCTTTTCCTTGGCACAGGCATGTCAAGACATGTTTGTGTTTGCTGAGACTTGTCAAAGAACATTGTTCTCAACTTACTTTGATTGTGTTTAAACATAATCATGATGAATTTACAATTCACAGTGAATTCTTCAACTGATGTGGGTGAAAATATCACTCATACTGATCGATTTGCTAACAATTTTTGAAGTCCTTTATTTGTGGAAGACAAGACAGCCATTATCCATTATCTGGTGGGGCTCAAGATGCTGCTGGGACTCTACTTATGTCCTTAATACGCAATTCCATTCCCCTACCTTTGTTACTGACACTGAGGAGGGTGAGTTTGAATGGCTTTTTCCACCTCCTGACTTACATAACCCTTCCCCTCATGATTTATTTGATTTTCCCCTTTCCTGATATTTCCATTCATGCTAACTCCTTTCTTGATCAACTTTGCTTATGCATCTTCATGCTTTGTTCCTCCTACCTGACTGATTCTATCCCTTTGTATATAGTCACTCTTCCTTTCCTCGATACCCAACACTTGGAGTCTCTTTTACCATTTTTTTTTTTGGGGGTGGTGGTGGATTCTTTGTCAGCTGTCTACTTATCTAGTGCCTAATTTTCTCGACTTCATGCCATCCTTAGTATCTTTCATAGATACCTCTCCTCTCTTCATCTTATGATGGAAGTGCTTAATCATTCTCCTGACAAATCTTCTGGGTACACCAGAGTGCTCCTATTCTCTTCCACTGCTCATTCCACTTCCCCTGTCCTTTCTCTTCTCATTTGGTTCCTTTGTTGTTGGGACCTTCTTTCCCAAGTCTAATTACCTTCCTTCTTCCTCTGAGACTTTCATTTCCCCCTTTCTCTGACAAGAAGTCTTTGATAGGGTCCCGGATTCTCTTGAATCATGGGTTAAAGCTACCCACCATCAACCTTCCCTTTCCTCCTTAGTCACACATTTGTTCCAATCTCACTCTTCCACACCTGTCCCTCGCCTTAACCCCCTCATTCTTCCCATTCTGTCACTGTATCCCAACCTTCTACCTCTTCTTGTTCTTCTTCTGTTTGATGTCTCACCCACCAATCTAACTACCAGTGACCATGAGGTTCCACTACCATGTCTCCTCTCAACCAAGTCCCCTTCTACTTCCCAGACTTTCCAAACATGTAACCTTCTTTCTCTCCCTCTCCTGTCAATCTTCTACCTGTTTTGTGTTGTAACAGAAATGGCAAACTTGTCTCCATTGGTGTCTCCTTCATCATTTCCTACCTGGCCAACTTTCCATATAACACCTCACCTCTTTCTTCACTTTGCTCTTCAACAGTGGCTTGTCTTGCAGTATAAGTGGCTCTATCCACCACATTCCACCTTTCCTGATACTGCAACATTTCTCACCTCTGTTCTTACTCCCCTATTCTTTACCTTCCTACTACACTGCCCCCCTTTCAACTCTATTGCCTCACTGGGACTTGAATGTCGTTCTTCATGCCCTCACTGATGACCCATTTAAATCTGTTGGCACTTACTCTGTATATAATCTTTCTCTCAAAACCTATTTCCTTCTATTTTCCCTGTGGTTGTCATTGTTCTGATGTCTATGCCATAGACTCCTTCTTGACTCTTTTCCATTACTCATACCTTCTTCTCTACCCCTACTGTTCTACTCTGCCTAAGACTTCAGCTGCTCAAGAAGGTGGTCACCTTCTTACACATTCTCACCCATCCTCCCCAATTTCCCGGTGTGACTTTCTTTATTGTCTCATCAAAGAATGAGGATTCTTAAGTGCAAATGTAAAGAGAGGATTATCTCAAGGAGGTGTGTTGCACTCCTATTGACAGAGAGTTTTGCAGCATGATACATTGTGATGTAGTAGCACAAGTCCCCATGAACATAGGTGGAAGTTTTCACAAGGCTGGTGGCATGCAACTCTCTCAGGAAGGTATGCACAACTTCAAAATGTGTATGGAGGTGAGTATCTATCAGAAATATATTTTCAAGTGAGGAAAATTTTAACATTAGATTGTCAAATACACTTACAGCAAAATAGAATAATAAACCTGAAAAAACTTTTGCAAAGTTAGGTCAAAATATGCATATGAAATACTTACCAGTATATTTAAAATTTTATCAAGTAGTTCTTTAAACACATCAGATTTTAAAAGGGATTTCCTATTGTTTTGATATATATTTACGATGAGGAAGATAAACCAACAGTATGTAAAGAACAAAATCTTAAAGATGAGAAAATTCAAATAATAAGTACAATGTTGAAAGTATAATGTCTTAGTAAAACGAAATTATATTTATTGACATTGTATCTTGGGCTTTGTAACTTTGAACCATATGGCATTCTTTTTGTAATAAGTATTATATATATATTGTAGTTTATAGTTAAAAGTACTCAGGTTTCAAAATGTACTTGAATGTCATAGTGTAATCATCTTGCAGGGTCTACAGAATACTGAATATACAATAATGGGATCTGAGAAGCCAAATGCCAGATTTGGATCTGCAATAGCAAATGCTGGAGATCTCAATCAAGATGGATATTTAGGTATCTTTACCAGAAATTAACTTGTGGTTTTTTACTGAAGTTGCTATTTATCATTTTTAGAACTTTGTCAATTATAATGTAGCACTGGAAACTGCTGAAAAAAGCCACTGAAACAATAAATACTGTTATTTGCACCCTAGTTGTATCGTACTTGATACAGGATTTGTATTAGACAAGAATTTGTGCAACAACAATTAAAGAGTGTAATAAAGAAATGAAAAATAGTTGAAATTACAAAAGAGTTAATGCAAGCTTACAGAATATCATGTATAACAAAATTACTAACAACTTTTAACTGTCATTAGAAAGCAAAATACATTCACATTTAGATTGAAATACTCTAATATTCTCTGCAGTACAGATTTGTTTGGTAACAAATTCTTGCCTCAAAAGTTTTTAAAAATACAGTGCATGATAATCTATTACATCTTTATGAAATCTTAACTAAGTTTCTGAAGGATAATATACTCATAATTAAGAAAAAAACAGATTTATTCATTCCAAGCATGATATTTCATTCTAAAACATTCAGGTTGATGTTGCATTGTGTTTATTGTTAAAAAAACATTTGCAAAAGAAAAGTTAGAAAATATTTAATCAAATGGTAGAAAGAATTCAGCAAGTAGAAGGAACAACCACATTCTCACACCTTTGAATGAAAGAAAAGAACAATAATCAAGAGAAAACATATCTTTAGGGTTTACTTTTCCTGTCATGACAGTTGTATAAAGTCACATTTTAAATAGAAATACTGCTAACCAGCTAAGCTTTTTAAGTCACTAAAATAGCTAACCATAAATTACAGATTGAAGAGCTACAGGGTCAGATGATAATCCAAGAGCTCTCAACAAAAATAAGTAGAGGTAATGAAATGTACATATTAAGATAAAGTCAAACTTTATGTTGATAGAATACCATGCACTGAAGTTGTTTTTACAGCAATACCTAACTTGCCAAAGAACTAAGACTAACTACAACATTTTACAACTTTTTCCTGCTAACGTTTAAAAATAAATAATTGAAATAATAACAAAGTATTTGATAATTGATTGGCATAAGTGAAAGCTTAGATTGTATTATCATATCACTAGATGAGTTAGAGAAAATAACACTTCAAGACCATTTTTTCCCAAGACAACTTCTAGAAAGATTAGTGAATGCCTCCAAGTCAGTTTTGGGTATTCGACTATTTAAAGATTTTAACCCAGATTAAATGCCAGAGTTGTCATATTAAACAACAGTAATTTGTGTTAGATGAAGGAGATAACACAAAAAAAGAAAAGTTTAACTTCTCTTCTAAATAAAAAGTATTTCAAAAACATTTGCCTTTATACAAAATTATTTTTATATATTTAAGTGTTTTACTCTTCTTGGAAATAATTCATTTAGCTTAATAATATAATCAAAAGTGCATAATCTATCTATGAATGTAATACATCTTGTGAAATTGGTCTCAAAATTCAGAAAGAAAGAGCTGGTTACTTTTTTTCTATTAAACATTTAAGTAGACCAGAAATGTTTTGTGGGTCTCTGCTAGTTTCAATTAACCTCACTAATTACTGCTAAGGTACCCTGTGTATCGTACATAAACAAATGAATGATTTCACATAATTTCTTTTAGACGGTTCTTTACAAGGAATGTTTTAATAGACAAAAAACCAACATTACTAAATGTGATGAAATATGTGGAACCCACTAGCAATGAATGGTATAAAAAAAAATTTAATTTAACGTGTATGGGTTGGCTCATTATAAGTAATATTGACTATAATTTTGAATATAAAAAGTGTATCTTCATGAAATGTGGCAAGCTGTTAGTCAATAGCACAAGTTTGTTGTACACAATAAAATCAGTTGTATTACTATAGTTTTTATACTAAAGATATGTTTGCAAAATGTCAAAGTCAGTCTTACTCAAACAAGTTGGAGTGCAATGTGATATCCATGTGAAGAAAAAACACACTTTTGTCCATCATATGGTTTACAAATTGCATTTGCATAACCTCTACAACCTTCTAAATGCATATCTATAGTTTTTATCAGTGTCCCTGTACTTGTATTCTATGCAAGCAGCAGTACATGTACTTCTCTCAGCATGGAGATATGATGAAATTAGTATTATTACATTAAGTGTTTCTAATACAATCTACCCATCCAGAGTTTACTAATTGAAAAATGAGTCACTAAATTAGTATCTTTATTGTAACAGCACTTCTTTAAATATAACAGTTCTAGCACAATACAAACGAATTGTAATCGTAGACAACGAAATGTGTAAATCCACTTGTATATAGGCCGTACTTTATAAAACTTTAACTTATGTTAGGCCTAAGTTCGATAAAGAGATAAATTACAGGTTACAGTGTTGTACGTTTTTTTTTTTACTTTAGTTTAGTTAGGACTAAACTTTACTGTACTTAATACTATCGATAAATAAACTTAAAATATTATTCTACGACCTAATGTCAAACTTTTTTAAAAACTTTGATAAGTTTTTAATATTCTGTTGTATAAAATGGTTAGTAAAGTATATTTACATTCCCATTTTGTTGTTACTTCTTATTTCAAACAGCAATTATAGCGACTTGATCACTGAGCTTTGCAGCTCTATGCTGCAGACAGACTGTTTGTCGTCGAGTGAATAATACGCATGCGCGGTTTTTCTTGGGGAAACATTTTAACTACGCATGCTTATGCAACAGGTTCTCGGTCAGAAAGCGTAACGGTCGTACATACAAACAAGCAGAATAATAGTATAGATAA